AATTTACAATCATTCATAAATCAAGCACTTTCTTTATATCAGAAGTCGACAAATACATCAACTGAAATCTTTTGTATAAAATTGACATCGGCTGATTTGGTCAACATGTGACCTGGCTCTTTCCACTTCTGAAGTCCATCTTAACATGCAAATGAAAATGAACAGGTGGTCTGGAAAAAAAATGTAGCTAGGCCAAGTTCCTTGATTATTAGAGAATACAGTTTCTAACTGCAGCCTATAAAAATTCATTTTCCACTAGTCTTAAAACATGATGTTACTCTAAAAGTTTTAAACAGGAGAAATAAGGTAGAAATAACAAAAGTATACAATCTATTCTGTTTATGTCATGTATGACATAGCCTTTTATTGATTTTATTTGAACAGAAACCACAGTAGAGTGCCAGGAAATGAGGCGGCACTTAACCACACCACAGGATGGGCAGAATAGTATTTAATAAGTGTATTACTGGTATAGGCCTTTATGAGTCACTGCAGAGGGGTGCAGAAGAGATTTTACCAATTGTTCACAAACTTATGGAGTGCACAAATTAAATCAAAAGAGTTGAGGTAACATTGTTGTATATTCATATATGTATGCACTTACTAAAATGTGTAATTCTGAATATAGTCATGAACTTGCTGGCTTTTTTATGGTATATCGTTCAACCTCTACTACAAACAAAGACTTTTTTTTTTCAGTGTAGAAAGTAATTTTTTCAAATATTACGCATAGGACCATGTTGCTTCCATGTTTAGATAAATAAAGCTGAACCAGCCAGTCAAGTTCTTCAGGTGTGAATGAAAACCATAAATATTTAGGAACAAGTTTAACTTAAACTCCTCAAGGAACGGAGTTTAGCATTAATTCTGAGAATCAGAGAAAGAAAGCTTTCATTCTTAAAAATAGATATGACCTAAAGTAGATGACCTACATTGGCAACGAGTGCATCTTGAATGGGTGTGTTTGCCATGTCTGAGTTGCTATTCTGAGCAGGAGTTCCATCCTCTGTCTGGTTGCCTGTAGCTAGTCTTTCCTCATGGTTCTGCAGACTTGGGTTTTGGAGGTCTGTGTGGGCTGAGTGGTTCAAGATGGATGCCACACACAGCTCCACTTGCAAATGCAAGAAATTATTCCAGGTATATTTAAAGAACAAATCCTGCAATGAAGGAGAAAAATAAGAAAGCTAAACAAAATGACAAATGCCCATCAACAGCCAGCGAATGTTGCATCATCTATAGCCAGTGTTTCATGTGAGTTAGTGATTTACCAACAGCAAGTCCATGGTGTTGAGTCTGCAGATTTCTTGGCAGATGCTGAGGTCGCAAGTCTGCAGAAGAGAAGCCACCAATTTGGCCACATGAAGGCGAGAGCTTCCCAAGGGCTGCTCTAAAACACCCACTGTAGTGAGTATTGCAATTCTCTGTAAAAATGAGACGATAATATAGATGTTATAAACAGGTCACTCAGTATTGCAGTTTTTGAAACACAGTAAGTGGTGAGGAAAAAAAAACATGTCACAATTAGGATTGAGTGTTGAGTCGATAAATTAAAACTTTCAAAACAGTACTTAGTCTGTATTAAAAAAACAACAACACAGAGAAATCAAAAGCAAATAAAAATTGGCCTACATGCTTAAATAAATACAAACTTTTTCAACATTCCACTGAAAAGCCTCTGCATTTAATAAAATAAACTGAACAGTATTAATAGTTAGCATGTGAACTCTACACGAACAGCTTTAGTGGGTTTTTTTTGGCAGAGAAAAAAACTTTTCCCGACAACGCCCGATACAGATTTTTCATCACAAAAAAGCTTTTTCAACACAGATTGCAATCTAATTATATAGAGATATATATTATCTATAGTTTGTCTAGCCGCATCCATTTGTTTCCCAGGTTTATACAGTCAGTTTGGTATACTTTCCAGAAATTATCATTTTTGTTTGTTCTTATTAAAACTAAAAATTACAAGCCAACCATACTTTTATTCACTCTATGTATAAATGAAGATCAAATGACTATCTGTGTTAGATGAAATTACACACTGTAATTTTTATAATAAAAAAGGCCAGGCCCAACTCTGATTCACCTAATATTGTTCGTTAACATTTCTAAGTGTTTAAATCATACTATGAAAGAGTGGGTTGGTATCAAAAATTGTTTAAAGATCCTGCAATACCATAGGAGGGTTCAGTAGGAGCTGTTGGAAGTCCTTTAGATGAGGCTCAATCGCACGTAAAATACTGCTGTTGACAGTGTAAGACCTTTCACATCCCTGAGAATAGAGGTCCATCAGACCCTCCAACCTAGCAACAGAGACAAATAACAGAGGCTAAGAAAAATAGAGATTTAGACCAGCATACAACAGACGTTAGCTATTTATTTCTGCACGACTCACCCTGACCTTCGTGACTCTAGTAATGTAAGAAGCACTTGTGTTCCATTGACCACAGAAGCTTCCGTCTTATCTCCTTCAAACATGTTCTTTAACAGCTCTGTCACATTCTCTTGTCTGAGTAAATTAAAAAATATCCATTACACATGGCAAGGTTTGGCATGTCTATCATCTTGGCCAACAACTTACGACTCCAGGACAGCAAGTAAAGGGTCTAGCTCTGCGACTTCTGACAGTTGATTGGCCTGGTCTCTACTCAGACGGATGATGTCACAAAGAGTCTGGGATGCATTAGATTGTCTCTGCATAATAACAAGAAAAAGGATGATGTACTCAATGATGTTCACTTAATCTAAAACATAAAGCATGTGTGCTTATATTAGCACACAGTGTAATCCATGTACCTCTTCATCTCTCCCTGTGTGCATGAGCTCCGTGATTCTCTGGATTAGTCTCTCTTCATTGAGCCACTGCAGAATCAGAAAATTGGCAGCATTTATTAAAGCTACAAATCAGCTCCCATCTAGTATGTTAATGTGAAGTTAATTATTGATTCAGAAACTCTTGCACATTGATAACTGGTGTTCGCTAGAATCTCAGAATTGTCAAGTTGCAATTCTCCCATCGTACATGAACACATCCATGTGCTTACATTGAGGACTTCCATTCTTAAGGGTGCAGGCTCTACACAGCTGATGAGGCGCAGCAGTAAGTCCATCATGGCTGAGGCATCAATGTGATTCAGCACCAGACTGATAAAGTTGTGTTTTTTCCTTAGGAAAGAGATTACCTGCATGCAGAAACTAAACTCAGTAACAATATTTTCACTGTAGTATTTCCAATATAGAGGTCTTTATGTACCTGTTCTGTTTTACGTGCAATCAAGTTGCCGATGGTTTTGCTGAAAAAAGAGGCCAGCAAGGGATTTAGGGGTGGCTCCTGCTCTAGAAAGTGGTAGAGCTTCTCCAAAAGGGATTCTTCTCCACCCAGTTTATCATTGATAAGAGCCACATCAGAGGTGAGGAGCTCACAGGCAATGTTAGGAAACCTAGGTAAGCAAAACATGACCAACATGAGTAAACAAATACAGCACTTAAAAAGCTCAAAGTTGTGACTTAAAACCTGTTTTGAGCTGTTCTGTGTGTAATAAAAACAACAGGTCAACTGAGTGGTGCTGCCATCACTGTTTCCAATTTTCCCCTCAGAGGTAAGCTACCCCAATGATCATATTATGAAAATTTGCATCCAGTTAATAATTCTACATAAGCCGCAGAGAACATTCTTTAATGTTGCATAAAACATAAATATATTTGGAAAAAGAAGACATTTTTATGAAAGCACTTGTTCATTTAACATTCTTGATCTGCCTTTTAAAAACCATGTATGCCAGTTAGGGGTGTAACGGTTCATGGGGATGTATTGAACCGTTTTGGTACGGCCTGTTCGGTTCGGGACACTTGCGTACCGTTTCGGTATTTTTATTAAATGATATAAATGTATTTTTAGCGCGATATTAAGCGCAGCGGAACAATGTTCCTAGGCGAGTTTCCGCACGGACGATATTGACTGACGAGCGCGAGTAGGAAAATAGAATCATTTCAAAAGCGAAAGGGAAGCCAGAGCTTGAAGACCCTCTCACCTCTCTACGGTCTCGTGTTTGGGAACACTTTGGCTTCTCTGTTAAAATACATAACGGGATAGACGAGTGGATAAATTTAAAGTTGTATGCCGACATTGTTCCACGGAGATCGGGCAGGCAACACATCTAACATTTTCTACTGCTGGAGATATTGTCACTGCAAACCAGATCTGTGCTCTCTTCAGAAAATGTGGATAGGTTAATCTTTTTAGCCTAAAACTTGAATAGTTAGTTTTGTTGATATACAAGCTGAAGCTGTTGCTAGTGTTAAAAGTTTTCAGGTCCTAACTAGTTGCAGTATTTCATTTTTATTTAAAAAAATGTGTTTTTCTTTATAAAGAGTGCAATTTATTTAAAATATCACCCAAATGTGTCACTTTTATTTATTTTATGCAAGAATTCTATTGTGTATTGGCAGCTTTTCAAAATAAAGATTATGTAAGTTCTTATTGTTTTGAACCGAACCGTTACACCCCCAATGTCCACCATTTCTGGCTTTCAACATGAACAGTGGAATGTCACCACATTTCAACAAGTACTAAACACTTTCTCCGAATGTGAGCTGACGGCAGGGATACAAAGATTTGTTGTGCGCAAGGTGAGCTCAAATTGGTTAACATCTTTCCACGGCTTTGCCTAGCTGTAATTGGCTGGTGTGCCGCATCAGCTCTGGTTGGTTAACATATCAAAATCATGCGCACTAGAATGTATTCCGTATAAAAAAAAAAAACCCAAAAAATTGCAGCCTTATCCAATTTAGCAAAATTGCTTGTGTTTAAATCACAATTTTGTTTGCAGTTGTGATTAATTGCACAGCCCTATAACTCAGCCAATATCCCATGAGCCAAAGACATCCAAAAGATGTTGCTTTAGCTGTTCCTGAATCAACAGGGTATTACATTTGACATTTACGTATTTGGCAGACACTTTTATCCAAAGCAACTTACATTTGAATGAACATATTTTTTTTTCTGTCAGGGATTGAACCCACAACCTTTGCGTTGTTAGCGCAATGCTCTACAAACTGCGCCACAGGCAGCGCCACCCTAACTTTATGGTATCAGATATCGTAAAATTTAGTTTAAGTTTGAGGTGAGTTCTTATCCTGTGATTCAT